TCTATCAAGAAATAATTCATAAACGTTTATGGATATATCGTGTTTACGCGTTAATCTCTTTCAATTTGATTTAATTTCATGGCTATGATTCGTACACACTAGATCGATGTTCCTTTCTTGAGCACGCTTTCATTTCGAAGTTGATTTAATTTTCAAAATTAATTTTCCTCGTCACGTAAAAATTATCGTATGAATTTTACTTGCTACGTACATTTTTTTCTAGCAGTAAATAAAAGTTCCATCGATTTAAAATCTCCTCGTTTATTGGTATATAGATTAAACTCTTTTATGCTCTTAAAATAACGATCGATCGACCGGCAACAAATACATGTTCGAATTAATCTTTCCACGTTTAATTCATTTCGATGGTTGATGATCCATATGCCTGATCGCGAGCAGTTCGACAATGAAGTAATTACAGTTAAGCGATCATCCCTATTGTCAAGTATCAGGAAACATTTTGAATGACTCTGTTGTTACAACAGAGATAATGCCTAGTTCCATGCAGAGTAGCGGCAACTTTGCTCATTGTTCGTGTCATCGATCGGTCTGGTATCGGACGTTTAACGAATACATATGTATCGAAGCTACCGATGTTTCCATTACATCACGAGATAGACAGAGGGAGGGTGCACGAGAGAGAAAAGGGATTATCGTGGCTTCGATGAATCCTATCCGTTGCACGCGAGTTCGCGTAAACTTCAGGAAAACCGAGTCCGCACTCCGCTAAGCGGATCTGCGTTTACAGATCATTTTTTCAGCACGAGTAACTCGCCGATCCGCGCCGACTCCTAACAACGCGGTTGATAACATTTTTTAACTACTATGCGGTTTGCATACCAGCCGTTTTATCCGTGTCAAGAAGTTTCCTCTGGAAAACTGAAAAATGTCCACCGTCCAAATATTATCCGAGACAGGATTATTCAGAAAAGTTTTACTTGTTCATTTTCTGTTTTGATGCGTTTTGAACTAATTATTCTTTCTCTTTTGTACAAGCTTTTCGCTGTAATATTGATTTTCTTTTTTTTCTTCTTTTCTTTGAAAATATTCGACATTGTTTTTATTGTAATTACGTCAAACAGTGGAATATCAATACGATATATAATTCAATTATTCATCAAATTTTATCGATGATTAAATGTGAAA